GGTTGGCAGGCAGGTGCCAGAGACCGTGAGGCGCTGAAGAAGAGGTGTGTGTGTGTGTGTAGCCAGAGTGCTGCTCCATCTCACTTGGGCACCCCAATGACAACCCCGCTCTCTCCACCCGCCAGGCACTGCTGCTGGAGGCGCAATCCGAGCAGTACCTCAAGTCAGATCAGCCCGACGTCAGCATCCCCTACCGCCCCACCGTCGCGCCCGCCTGATATCTCCCCCCCTTGCACTGTGTGACCTGTTTGCTGAGCTGGATGCAATGTTTTTACACCCACAGACCAATGGCCAGGGGCGAGACCCTGGGATTGCTCCTGCGGAGGTGCATCCTCAGGTTGGGACGACGTGGCTTGGCCCTCAGGCCAAGGTATCTGGGATGCTGTTAAAATAGTGCTCCTATTGTTGACCTGTGTCATCGCTGTGAGCTCAGCGATGCCAGCAGTGAGCTGCGATGCTGGGGGTGTAGGCACGCCACCCAGCGGAATCTGACTGACGGGTGAGGTGTCCGGTGAGCAAAATCCGGCACATAACAAAGAAGTAGGCCATCATGCTCCGGCACGATCGAAAAATACAGCGCGCAGCACGATGAAGTTGATGGATACAGCATGACATCGCACTGCGAGAGTGTTTGAGCAGAGATCGGCCTGGTGGCTGCGTCGACCATGGGATCCGCGGAAGACAGGGGGCGGGCTGCCCCCCGCATAGAGAGAATCAAGCTCATCGGCATTGGCATGCTTCTAGCATCGGCAGTGATATTTATGGGAGTGTGGCGGTCGTATCCCCTAGGCATGGACGAGGCCAGGGCGCATGCGTCCACCGTGTGGGAGGCGGTGGTGAGTTTCCTGCCAAGTGACGGCGGTCGCAAGTCGGGTTGAGGGATCACTTGACTCGTGGGATCATGGTCTTCCAACACCCACCCATTCCAGGCGCATAAGGCGAGCAACCTGGTCCAGACCTACTCGTCGAGCCCCTCCGAGGCGGTTGCCCTGTGCGGGGGCCTCATGGGTTCCGGGTGCCAGGCCTTTGCTCAGCAGCAACCCATGCCAGCGGTGTCCCCCCTCAAGGGCACCATGAGCTGCCTGAGGGACTGCAACCATGCTGGGAAGTGCGTGGCCTTCAAGGGCTTCTGCCAGTGCCCAGCGGGCTGGACTGGGGAAGGCTGCCTGACGCGCGAGCGCCGCCCCTGCACCCACGAGACCCGTCAGTGGGGCTTCACCAGGCTGGACCCCAAGGTCAACCTGACGGAGTTCAGGGTGGAGGAGGGCACCGAATATCACCCCATCGCCGGCGGCCGCAGCTCGCTGTGTGCGGGGACCTGCGACGACGACATCTCGCTCTGCTACTGCCCCTCCGACACCAAGTACGGTCGCATCCCGCCTGGAGAACATTCACTCCCAGGTGGGTCCGCGCCAGGTAGCACATGCGGCTTTGATGTGTGAGGGTAGCGATGGGGCTGGGCAAGGCGTCCCCGTTCCTGTGGTGGGGCTGAGGAGCTCAGATGCACCCCTCACAGCCTGCCATCGCACATTCCATCCCGCCAGGCGCGCCCCCCATCCGGAAGGGTCGGCCCATGGGGCAATGGTGCCAGCCAAAGCAGGTGAGCTGTTTGAGGCGGCTGGGAATGGCCTGGAGGCGGCAGAGGAGTGTGCCAGGCAGGGACGCTGCACCCGCCCCTCTGCCGTCCACCCATGGTTGCTTCTCAGCAATGGGTTGGAAGGTGCACCCGGCACACCGGAAAGCAAGCGCCTGCTTGGCAACTCTGTGTGCAACGCACCCTGCCAGGACAAGGAAGGTTTCCCCATCCGATGGGGCACTGTCGACTACGATTTCCTGTTCAATGATAAAACGGGCTGGTGCAATGCCGAGCACCCAGCGGGGAGGTGTGACTGCTATCAGGTGAGGAGGGATGGTGCGGGGAATGGGGTCAGGGCCCCTGTGGTGACCACGCATTGAGTCCCCACGAACATGCCGTGCCCAATCGCTCACCGCCTGGACCCCCGAGGCCGCATGAGGACCGCGGCGCATGTACCAGGGGTGTACCCTTGCCCTCTCGACATGCACTGATTGTCCATAGAACTCGCGGGTTGCCCATGGGAGTCAGGGAGCCCTGGGCAGAGCCTCTCTTAACAAGGTGGCGCCATCACCCACCGACCGCTGCGAGCTCCTCTCCCTTGGTCATGGTTTCATGCAGGATGGCATCTCGGGTGCCACCTGCGAGACGATCTACGAGCACACCTGCGTGAATCAGTGCAATGGTGTGTGGAGGGCCGCTGGGGAAGAGGCTCTGCCCCGTGCTGCTGCCTTGGAGAGTAGAATGGGGAACTCTGCGCTGCATCACATGTTGCCTGCGGCCCCCTGAGCGAAACCAAATGCCTGCGCAGAAGCATAAGCCGACACTGGCAGTACCCGGTTGATCCCTCGACCCATTGCCTCACCTGCACCATGCCCACAGGCCATGGGGAGTGCTACATAGGGTACTGCCAGTGCCACAAGGGCTGGTTCGGCCACGACTGCGCATATCGCATGGAGGGCGTCGAGGACTCGCCAGGTGGGGCGGGTGGCTGCTGGGGTCGACCCCTGTTCTGCCTGGCATGGATGGGCCAGCAAACCAAAGCTGGCGGGTGTTTGGCCGTGGCCCCCTCCCAGCACCCACCACTGCTCCCTGGACACTCCGCTGCCTCTCGGGGCCCGCCTCTCCTCTGCCGCCAGGCCTGGAGGTGGAGCGACCCTGGATTGCAGACATGGTGTACACCCCCGCCACCCACGAGCCGGCCGCCAACGCCACCCGCCTGCGGCCCCTCATCTGGGTGTACGAGATGCCGGAGGAGTACGCCTCACGCATGCTCCAGTACCGGGTGGACGGGTGAGGCGCACGGGCGTTTGGACCGGATGGCGACGCGGGGGAAATTTGGGCCACAGCATGCCTGGATGGGGGGAGGCAGGGCGCCGACTCGCGGAGCTGTCCTCCTCTCGCCGGCGCGCCGCCGGGCAGCTTCCACGCGGCATGCCATCCGGCTCCCCCTCTCCAGCTCCTGAGCCGTTCTCCCCCCCTCCCCTCATTTCCATGCAGGGGATTCTGCAACCACCGTCAGTTCACCGGGGGGAATGTGACAGACTTCAAGGACCACAACTACTACCAGCTCGAGATGGGGCTGCATGAGATGCTGCTGCAAAGCCCCCATCGGACCCTGGATCCAGAGGTGGGCGCTCTGCCATGCGGGAGGCTTGGTGCGGGGCGTGCCTGCATGGGTGGGGCCAGGAGGGCGCGCAGGGGATGGCCCTCTGTTCCTCCCAGACAGTGCTTTGACCAGGGAATGCCAGCCGGATGGCCACAAGGGCCAGCCCAGTGACCCGTCTCTGACCCTGCAGGAGGCCGACTTCTTCTACGTCCCCGTGTACACAAGCTGCCTCATCATGCCGGTCCAGAACTTTGGCGACGGGCCCTACTACCACAGCCCGCTCTCATGTGGGTGTGGCCGCAGGGGGGGAGGGCAAGGTTGGTGTAATGCTCCGCAGAAGCCCGCGCGATGTTGTGGGAGGGTCTGCCCGGCCCGAAGCAGCGGTGGGGCGCCTCCCCCGCCACCGCGCCCCTGGGGGTAGCTCTGCCGTGGTGGCCGCCGGCCCACGAGGTGGGGGGGTCCGGCGAGGCAGGGCCCAGCGCAGACGGCGCACCTGCCTGCGCGGCGCGCGCCAGGAACACCCTTCACACCCCCTACCCCCCCATGGCCGACCCAGATGGAGGGCGCACCGTCCAGGCCGGCGGCCTGCTGGAGGACGCCTTCCATTGGATCCGGGCGCACTACCCCTACTGGAATCGAAAGGGGGGGAGGGACCACATCTGGGTACGTGGCGGGGCAGTGCCAGCATGCTCACGCAACCGCATCCGATCCGTGGCATGCTGCGGGGTACAGGGCACGGCTCTGATGGGGAGTCGCGGCCAGGTCCACTCGCCGCCGCCGCCCCGTCCTCAGCGCCCCGTGCATCCCCGGCCCCCCTGCGCAGCTGGCGACACACGACGAGGGCTCCTGCTGGGTCCCAAACGTCATCCGCCCCTCCATCATCTTCTCCCACTGGGGCAGGACAGACCACAACCACACCAGTTGGACGGGCTATGGTGCGAGCGCCCCTTGGGGGGGGAATCGTCCCACAGGCCCAGACTTGGGTCCATGTCACCGGGAACTCGGTGCCCACAGCTCCCGGGGCCACGGCCGGAACCAGCCAGGCAGACCTCACGTCACCGCTGCCCCCTGGCCACCCTCCCAGGTCCCGACAACTACTCGCTCAACATCTCACACCCGCTGTACGCACCCAAGGGCAACCTCCACCGCATCACCAAGGGCCCCTGCTATGACCCCGTCAAAGGCGAGGGCCCCGAGGGCAAGGCAGGGCGTGCTGATGGCTCTCGGAGGGAGGTTGCCTGGTGGTGGCATGAATTCCCAACTCCATGCGTGGCGTGCAGCCGGCTCCTCCCTGACGCAGCGCACGACCATTTGCAACAGAGCAGCCGGCGCTGCATGGCCTCGCCTCGACGCCCCCTCCCCACACGAATCCCCCAGATCTGGTGGTGCCCACCATGCGCTCCCCGAAGCACTACGCTCGGTCCCCGCTCCTGGGCTACCCACCCGTCCCCCGCACCCGCCTCGGCTTCTTCAAGGGCAGGATGCAGGTGATCGGGCGGGGCTGGGGCTGGGGGCCGCTCCCTGTCGCTCGGGCGCGGCCCGAATTCACACCCTCCAGTGTAAGTGTCCCCGTGAATGCCGGCCCTGCAACCCCCTCGGACTCCCCCGCCCCATCACACCCCGGTCTCCCTCCCCCCTGCCCCGACGCAGTTCGAGAACCTGCCCTACTCACGGGGTGTGCGCCAGAAGCTCGCCCGCCAGGCGTGGGAAGAGGACTGGGCCGGGGCGCACAACATTCTGATCCTGGACAACACGAATGTCACACAGAAGACGTACAGCGAGTTCCTGGTCGAGTCCACCTTCTGCCTGGCCATCATCGGCAAGTCGAGGGGGAAAGGGGGGGAAAGGAGGGGGCCTTCCCAAGCTAGGCATGGCGGCAGCTGACCTCCTGCTTTCTCTGCAAAGCCTCACACGCATTGCTCGGGTGCACTGCCAGACTCTGGGATCGTCCCATCCCCTTCAAGCCTGGGCCCTCACACCATGTGTAGAATTGGTCCAACCCTCCCCCACTCCCTGCACCCCAGGGGATGGCTGGACGTCACGGTATGAGGATGCTATCCTCCACGGCTGCATCCCAGTCGCGATCATGGACAATGTGAAGCCCATTCTCTCCAACATCATCGATGAAGCAGATGTGTCGAGTGAGGCATGGGGCTCGGGGCGGCAGTATTGGTGATGCTGCGCATACACATGTCTATCTCTCTGGCAGAACTCTCACATGGGCTCTCCCCCGGGCGACCACCCAGTACGCGTCGGGTTTGACGAGGTCGGCCGGCTGCCCGAGATCCTGAAGGCCGTGCCCCAGGAGGAGATTGAGCGGCTGCAGAGGAACATCGGCAGGTTCTGGAGGAGGTGAGGAGGGGCATGGTTGTGAGTGGTAGAGGAAGGGCCGAGCATCCTCTTCCCCTTGTCAGAGTGGGCCACGTGTGATGCAGCATGCCCCCACCTGGGGGTGCGATGCTCCAGAAGATGGCCTGCGGCCGCTGGTTCATCGTGGAAGGTGCATGGCGGCCCTCCACCTCTCTCCTGATCTGCACATCAAGATCCCAGCAGGCCCCTCGAAGTCAAACTCCGGCTTTTGCTGATGGCTCCCCAACGCATGCACATGTGCAGGTTTGCCTACACCTCACACCGCGTGTACCAGAAGAGGCTGAGGGACATCCAGGAGCGCAACCTTGCGCTGCCCGCCCTGGACACCGATGTCACCCTGCTGCCTGAGCGGGAGGGCATGTTCGACCTGGAACAGAGTGACGCCATGCAGACCATCTTGGAGTGGCTGTATGGCCGCATGGACTAGACGCGGCGCCAGCACACAAGGCTGTAACCTGTATGCAGACCTTCACCCAGTCGCCTGCTGCTGTACCCGGCAGCAAGCATTGTGAGCCGGCCCCTCAGACGACAGCTTCACGTGCAGGATCTGAGAGACACTCAGCATCGCACCACAAAGACTGCGACGAAAACCCTGCACCTGAGGTTTTGTCTGTGTCAGGCTTGGCTTCCCAAAAGGACTGTCTGCCTCATGAGGCGCTGAAAGTCGCTTCTCACACATTCCCTGCTCCCACGCTGCATGCACCTTGTGTGGGAAGGATTGCCTTGCAAACGACAGAATGGTAAAAAGGAGGCAGTGGCAGTGATGAAGTGAACAGGACCTCTGGACACAGAGGTGACGATGGGCGTGTACGAAAACCCATCAAACGAAAGGAAATACAGGCACAGCTTGCGCCCGTCTCAGGCCTTGCCAGCCTCAGCCAGCGTGGCTGCGACCTCAGCAGCAAAGTCCTTGTCGTCCCTGTCCACGCCCTCCCCCACCTTCACCCGCAGGAAGGCCGGAAGGTGCAGGGGCACTCCCAGCGCTTCGCCCAGCTCCCTCACCACGTCTTGCACCTGGGCCAGAGGGGTGGCGGGGGATGCGTCCAGGGTGGAACACGCACTAAGAACAGTTGATGGATGAAGCGTGCATAGCCCTCCTAGTGGCTCTTCCTGTGTGGACCCTGTTGCCTTACCCCTGCCTCTCGCCCACCTGCCTCTCACAGGCCTCCCACCAGACTCCCCCGCTCACCCTCTTGGAGTCGTCCATGACGAATGGCTGCTCCAGGAGGCACACCTCCTGGTAGAACTTTTGCAAGCGCCCCATCACCATCTTGTCTACGATGGACGCCGGCTTGCCTGCACAGGGGTGGAGAGAAGATGCTGTTTGGAGTTCTGAAAAGGGAGCCAGGATGGCTGCAGGCCGCCAATGCGACTCGCGGATCTTGCCAAGCACTCGGGCGCCGTGCCCGGCGCCAAGCCAGCCCTTGCTGTGCCACTATCCCCTGTCTGCAACTGCCAGGCCCAGGCCCCTTCAAGACATTGCATGGACGCACAATCTCCATACCGCGCCTCCAGCGGTCACAACCCCTGAACCCCACCCCCTGGAAAAGCGCTCCGCTCCCAGCGTGCCTGAGCCCAGGGCCTGGCTTCGCAGGACCTGCCGCTCCTCCTCCACGGCCACGGGGTCCACGCCTTCGCGGTCGAGAAAGCGCGGCGCGCTGGCCACCACCTGCATGCCCAGCTTGCGCGCCAGGTCGGCGGCGGCCTCGGCGGCCGGCCCGGCCAACTCGGTTCCGGGGTCGCGGGGGGCCAGGACAACGAGGGCCGCGATCCTGCCCAGCCCCTCCCCCGCGCCCTGATGCAGGTAGGAGGCCACCACGCCGCCAGTGGGCCGGGGCAGGAAGAAAGCGCGGCGCAGGCGCACATTCTCGCGCACCATGCCGGCCACGTTGGCCACCGCGTTCTCGAGGCTGGCGAGGGTGATCGGGAGTTGCGACGGGTAGATTCGGATCGAACGGAATTTGAGGAGGGGGTGGCCAACAGCAGCACATGGGGGTGACGCGCCAGAGCGCCTGCTGGCATGCGGATCGGCGCAGCGCAGTTCGTGCATGTGGGGCCACTCCCGACATGGCAGGATCAACAATTTGCTCACCTCTCGCCGCCTGGCGTCTTGGCAGACAGCAGCCGATCCAGGGGCAGACCGTGGCTCGGGGAGGGGGCGGGCCCTGCAGGTGCGACCTCCAGGGCGGCTGCGGCGGCGGCTCGAACCAGGGCCCGGAAATTGTCGTTGCGGGGGACGAAGTCGGTCTCACTGTTGACCTGCCAGGGTGGGTGAAGGAGGCGGCGTCGGTTGAGGGGCGGACAGCCCTCACCGGCTGGGCTGCAACAGGCGCAATGCACTCGGATCCGACCTTCGCATGCACGAGGCCTGTGCTCACCTCTACTACCGCTGCGCCGAGCTCGCTGGACGCAACGCCCACCAGGCCCTCTGCTGCCGTGCGCGTTGCTTTCTTCCCAGCAGAGGCGACGCCCTTCCTCCTCAGCTCCTGAGCAGCCAGGTCTAGCAACGACCAGGGATTGAATGCGTGGGCACTCTACTTGTGCCAGGGGTCAGCGTTGCCATATTGGGGGGCGGCCGCTCCCGACACCCTGACCATACCCATGACTCACCCATGTCCCAGTCGGCCTGCTGCAGGGCAGCCTTCACGTCCGAGATGGGGGCACCGGACGCCTCTCGGAGCTCCCTTATGAGGGCCATATGGTTGCCTCCCACCGCAAAGCATCGCACCGCCGGGATCCAGCCCTGCAATGCCACGCTGGGCCTCGGCACGAGGGCTAAGGCGCACCGCAGCATCGTGAGGCGCACGACAGAGGTCGGGGCCAAGGCCAGATTTGATGAGAATTAAGGTTTTACAAATGGTTATTTTGCATGCCGATGCTCCTTGCATTGGTGCACTGCATGCCGACACACTCGTTGCTTCCTTGCTCCGCATGCTGCGATGGTCGCAGCAGGTCTGGAGATCTGACACCTTTGATTGATGACCTCGACAGGGCTGTCTACGCATGGGCTGGTTCTTACTGGAATGGACACGCGGAGAACAGAGACACGCGCAGACAGGTACGCGAGTACCTTTGTGATAAAACTAGCAACTAGACAATCTTGGCAACACGAGCAGGCTGGGCGCCGCACAGTTCGCGGGCCCATGCAAGCTCACAACACGCCGTTCCAAAGCTTTTTGGCCACCTTGTCCTTCTCGTACTGGTCCCAGTCCGGGATGGCATTCATCGCCTCCTTCATGGCGTTCAGCACCCACCATACCTGTGCCAAGGGGCAGGAGGGGAGGTGTTGCGCGGAATGGGAGGGGAAGTCGCCATTTGCATCGGGCTTTGAAGACCCCTGACGAGGAGACCACAGAACCACGCCTGGCCTGTTGCCAGGCTACCAAAACCTGCTGTGCTTCCTTCCCGACCTGATCGTTCTGCACTCCGGCGGGCGGCATCGTCAGGTTCCTCGGCTGAATGACGTGAGCATACTTGCGCTTGTCGTAACGGTAAGGAGCGTCGTACGCTGCGACGAGGGTTTGGGGGTGGAGAGGCAGGCCCTTCAGTGCTGCATGTTAGTCGCGAGGAAATAATGCAAGCCAGGTGCATTGCGGGGGATCCACGAAGGCAGAGCTTGGCATAGCAAACGATGCCGGCCCTCCCTTTGCCAAGCTGCAACTCACATCCCCAGTGGCTTCCTGTGGTGCGGGGAGGATGGGCACGGGATTGACACAGGGAAGTGAGAGAGGCACTTGGGACGACAAGCAAGCACTCTGGCAAGCCAAGCTAAAACCCCAGCTTCCCTTTCTTCCCTCTCACTCCCTGCGTACCATCCTCCCTGTACTCAAAGGCATAGGTGTAGTGCATAATATAGTATGCGCCCATGTAGAGGTTGTCATATGGAGGCTGGGCCATCATCTGTCGAGTGAAGGTGTGGGCAGGGAGTGATGCGGATGGCATGGTGTGGATCCCTGCCAAAGGGGCATGCGGCCAGCCGTGACAGCGCACATGTGAAAGAGCCCAAAGGCGGACCCTCCTCATCCCTCTCCCTTCCACAGGAAAACAACCCATCACCTCTGGGGAGAGATCAGTGTCCAGGATCCCAGCATGGTACAGCCCAATGATGAAGGCGTACATCTCTTTCACAAAACCAAACGCCTGCGAGTGAAGGGCAAACAGGTTGCAACCGCTCAACGGTGGAACACCCTGCAGTTCAGCGCACATGCTGGGTGGATGGCGCCAGCAGATGGACGGGACGACATAGACTCAGCCACTGGCAGCCTGTCAGGCCGCGAAACGCCCCAAAATCCCCCCCCCCCCCCACCCAGCGGCACTCGAGCAGCCCCACCTTGTTGGCCTCGACATCCTTGTGGATGATGGTGCCATAGGCCAGCCAGAGGGGGGCCACCTTTTGGAGGTCGCCCATTGTGATGAGCATGGGCGAGCTCCCTGCAGGTAGGGAGACAGCTCGGGGTGGCTTGAAGACAGATGGCGCAAGTGCCATGCACAGCAGGCACCCTCTCCGGGCAAGGAGGGCATGCTGCCACATGCCCTGACTCAGTCCATCCACCCTCCATCCGCTCACCCAATGGGGCCACCTTCTGCTCGATTTCCGAGCGGCTCAACGGCCCTAGGAACTTTTGCATGACCTTCAGCATCCCGCTTGTGGCTGGCTCCATGTAGAAGAAAGGGTAGCCGATGGGCCTGGACCGTGTACAAGTTGTGAGGCATGGGTGTTGGTGCGGGGGCCAACAAATGATTGCAATATTTTGCAGAATACCTGTGTACGACCACCCTCGGCCCATGCAGCGGGAAGCCAATTTCTTCCCGGATCGATGAGAGCAAAATGAGTGTGCCGTGCGCGCAGGCTCCTCCATTTCCTCCCGCATCCCCCGCCGCCCCACCTGTCGTTGATCATGATGTTTGGCATGGGCCTCACCCAGATGTGGTCCGGCTCCATCATGAAGATGTACTTCTCCGGGATGACGGCCTGCTTGCTCCACTGCATGAAGGCATAGGGCCGGTTCAGGGCCAGGTAGGTTGGGTCCTCCAGGCCCTCGGGCAGCTTGTCCACCACATAGGTGGGGATCTCGTACATGAGGTCGTCCGGCTTCCCAGAGTGCAGCAGCCGCGTGTAGCCGCCCATCTGGCAGAAGAGAGGAGGAGGTGGGGGGTAAGAGCAGTGGAATCAATATACAATGCCACGGCTGGCTACTTGTTCTCACCCGTCGGGCCGGGTCCGGGGCCCCGCAAGTGGGATCGGCAGTGGGCTTGGCAAAGCCATGCCACTTAGAAACCCTCTTGAGAGGAAGGAAAGGGGGGTTGCATGGCCACCCGGATCCCTTCTCCTTCAGCGGGGGGCAATGTGCATGACGCTACCTCCCGTCTGTCTCACGTGGCATATGGGCAGCTTGGCACACGCCCGCTTTGCCTTCTTGTAGTGGTAGTAATTGATGCGCATCTGCCAGTGCACGGATTGGCCTTGCGCAGAAACCACAACATGGTAGCTCCGGTCCACGCCAGCGAGCGCCTGCCAGGTGCCCCCCCGGGGGGGGGGGGGGGGGGGGGGGGGGGGGGGGGGGGGGGGGGGGGGGGGGGGGGGGGGGGGGGGGGGGGGGGGGGGGGGGGGGGGGGGGGGGGGGGGGGGGGGGGGGGGGGGGGGGGGGGGGGGGGGGGGGGGGGGGGGGGGGGGGGGGGGGGGGGGGGGGGGGGGGGGGGGGGGGGGGGGGGGGGGGGGGGGGGGGGGGGGGGGGGGGGGGGGGGGGGGGGGGGGGGGGGGGGGGGGGGGGGGGGGGGGGGGGGGGGGGGGGGGGGGGGGGGGGGGGGGGGGGGGGGGGGGGGGGGGGGGGGGGGGGGGGGGGGGGGGGGGGGGGGGGGGGGGGGGGGGGGGTGTTGGAGTGGAGAATGGACACTTCACCCAGGACCCAGGACGCAGCGCATGCAACAACGCTGTCGGGGATCGGGGGTGCCACAGTACCCTGACTCACAGGGTCGTCGGCTGAGGGGGGCGCGGTCTCACAGGGAAGTCAGCAGCTCCTCTACAGGCTGCTGAGTGGCATCCATTGCCATGCCAATCTCTTGGTCATCGAGTCTTGTTCATACGCAAGATCCTTACGCCCCTTTGCCGCCCTTGCAGTCGAGCCTGTGCATCAGATACATACACTGCTCTGCGCAGCCCGGCGCCCTACCTCGCACTTGGGCTGAGCCTGGCACTGCTTCTTGACCTTCTTGTAGTGGTAGTAGTTGATGCGCATCTGCCAGTGCACCGCTTCGCCCTGGGCGGAGACCACAATATGATAGCTCCGGTCATCGCCAGGTTTCTGCGGAAAAGGGTGTGAGACGATGGAGAGCGGGGTTTATACCCTGGGCGGAGATGCCTGACGCAAAGTGTGCGATCTGGCAGCCTGCTCTGACGATCCAGATGGAGCAGATCCCTGACAACATCCCATGTGCCAGCAGGCGCTGGAGATGGCGCAGGGGGGGAGGAACTGGAGTGCAGCCCTGCCCCACCCACCTCACACTGCCGGCCCTTACCACAGTGCTGACTGGAAGTTCTGGTGGAGGGATGATGGTTCCAGACATGCCCCCTTGACTTGGATGCGAAATAACGTGCATGCCCCAGGGGCGGGGCTGTGCAAGGGGAAGAGTGCAGAGGTGGGGGTAACTAGGCGGCTGAGGGAACTACTGCTTTTGACTGCAGTCTTGCATCCATGGCTCGGCCAGCTCAATATCCGCAGCCCGCTTGCTGGAGGCACATTGACAAGGGCACAGGCACAATCTACTCATTCCAAGTTCCCTGACTCGCCTGGTACTTGAGCCAGCAGTGGCCTGCAGTGCAATTGGAGTTGGAGCCATCGCAGTAATTCCACACTGCATGGAGGGGAGGTGGAACAGTGTGAGAGGGAGTCAATCTGCACGAGTGGGTGGCTCTTGCAGTGCTGCCTTGGAATGGTTGGCAAGTCCTTGAGCCATTCGGGGTTGAGCAATCCAGCACGGTTGCAAGGGAGGCAATAACAAAAACCTTCACACAACAATGCAAAACAGCCTCTAGTGAAAACTAAAAGTCGGCTGGGCATCAACACCTCAGACAATGCCCGGCTGCGTGCTCAATCATTAATACCACAACAATTGAGGGGCGCTGCGTGGAGGAGGTGGCTCACCATTGCACGGAGCAAAGCTCTTTTCCTTGACAGGCTTGTAGTCAGCACAGGCCTGGCAGCACTCTGCTGTTGTGTTGAGTTTGAGGTCCCAGCCGTTCACCAGATACTCTCCCGACCGACTATTGGACAGGGAACCAGGGATGGCAGTGACCGCCCCCCATGGACATCATCTTGATGCTTCGAGGGATGCTGGAAACGTGCAATCATACAGGCACTGGGTAAGCTCTTCTTGCTTACGGAGCTTTCATGGTGGTCGAAGAAAGGCAGTTGCAGGCCAACAGATAAGCCTTGCCATTGAGCAGGCAGACCCTCCAACAACTCACTCTGAATGCTCACGAATCCAGCACTGTCCCAGCTGGTACTTCCGCCCATAGAACCCATCATCCTCCAGTTTAATAGCAGTCTTCATTGGGGTCGCTGGTTGGGTGGGCACGGTTCTGGTGGCTTTGCGGGCCGCATCCACTGCTGTGGCTGAGGTCTGGTTGACAGCTGTGCCGGACGGCACGCTGCCAGGGTCCAGGGCGGCCTGGGTTCCCAGCCCGTCAGAAGCCTCGCCTGCAAAATTAGGGAGTCGAACACATTATACTCCTATGAGAATCAAGCAGGGGCCCTCTGCCACACTCCACAAGCATCCGACACGATCGGAACCCGACCTGGCCCCCACAGTATTCATACCCAGGACAGCCCGCTCATTCAGCCGCAGGGCCTGAAGGCCCGGGGAGGAGGTGGCAACGGAGATCCGCACTGCAGTGAGGAGAAGAGTCAGGGAAAGAAACGAGAGGAGACCCATGAAGAATAGGTTGGTTGGACGTCTGCCTGCCCGGCGAGGTGGCATGCTCCGGGGGAGAGTCTACACTCCTACTGGACCTCGAGTCCAGAATTCAAGGACGAATCATCATTACAAGGCAATCTCCCGTTTATTAAGTCTGGTCGAGGGCACTATGCCTTGCCCATCCGCTCCTCGGACTGGGGGACTCTTTCTTCTCATAGTTGGAGAGTCCTCCAAGGCTGGATCAGGCAACCGTGACAGTCCCGCCCATGACTAGGCTCTATACCGAAGTGTGTATCATCCTAGCATATGTAGGATGATACAGTATGCAACATATGTGCAGTGCATGTGTGCCTGAAGGCTTTTGCAGAGAGTACAGCTGTATCAATCGAGTGAGATCCAAGTGTGCACAGATCAGATCCCAAGAGGTCTATAAATCTTCCGGAGGCAGTTCTGGCAATGGTACGTTCTTAGATCTCACACTTGCGCCTAAGTTCGTATACCAGTGAGTTCCTGTTGCGTTAAGGGAGGGGCAGTGAGGTTTGCATCTCTGGAACTTCCTCAGGGACTGCCAAGAACATGCACCTGCCAGGATACGTGGCCATGTTTCCCCAGTTTAGCGGAAGATTGGCTGTCTCGCCGACACCTTGCCAGTCTTGTAACCAGACTGAAGCTGTACAAGCCTAAGGCTCCTCGTTGGGGAGCCTGGCTGAAATCTTGGTGTCAATGTGCCACAGATTTATTGTCACTGCATGGTGTGCAAGCACTCAGCACATACTACCCACCAAGAGTAAATCATCAAGACTGTCCTGCGGGCTTGCTGAACAGAGGATGCTTGCAGTGCCAAGCTCTCGAGGCATTCATGGCGCTGGACAGAGCTCTTCCTGAACCCTTGATAGGCTGACACGACACTACACAGGACCGCTACTATCCCATGGGTTTTAAAACTGCTGCCGCGGTCCAAACGTCTTGGGTTCCCTAGGCTTCCCTGCCTGCAGCGGCTAGGTTGCGGCGGAGGTGGCCAAGACCCCGTTCCACAGCTGGCTTGCGGCCTTGGCCTCCTCATAGCTGTCCCACGCCGGCAGGGCATTCATCGCCTCCACGAAGGCATCATACAGGAACCACACCTGCAATCAGCGCGCCATACAGTCCAGGCTGGGTTGTTGGTTACGAGCGGCGCAAATTCCAGTCTTGACTCCACACAGCTCCCCGCTTCTTCAGATACAGACAGCTGAGCGTGCTCAAAACAGCCCCATGGCAGCAAGCGCGCAGTCTCAGACACCTGCTCATTCTTGATGTTGTTGGGTGGGGGTGCCAGCTTCCTGGGCTGGATGGACTCGTAGTAGTTCCGCTTGTCATAGCGATAGAATGAGTCGTCCCCTGCATTGCGTGGCAACGGGACCTGACTGCAAGAGCGCAGGTGCATCCCACTTGGGCACAAGTGGTCCGGCAGACCTTTGATCACATGGCACTGCCAGTCAGCTCCCTCGCAGCACCACCCCTGGCTGTCACAAGTCCCGTGGCGTCCATGTGCCACCCTCCCCTGCTCCCTTTACCACCCACTTGGGTCGTGGTTGCCTGCAGTGGTCAGGGTGGATGGGAGCTGGGGCCTATGTGTTCAGTCTGAGGTGCATGCCTTGGGTAGGAGGCAGAGCCTTCTGGCCCCCACATGGCCCCCAGGAGTGGTGCCGCACCTTGGGCATCATACTCCCAGGCATAGGTGTAGTGCAGCAGGTAGAAAGGCTCGAGGTGGACGGGGCCGTAGGGGGGTTGGCTCATTATCTGCGCACGGGGGGCATACGGTGGCGGCTGCCTGGTTGGCAGGCCCTCCGCCACGGGGTCATCCTGAGCATCGGCGACGGCGCAGCGCCCGTGCATCCCCGCCCCGCCCCTCCCACCTTCATGTCCAGATCCACGTCGTGGATGCCTGCGTGGTACATGCCGATGATGAAGGCATACATCTCGTGCACGAAGCCCCACACCTGTGAGGGCATGGTTGAACCTCGCTGTGAATGAGTGACTGCATGTGGATCCCGAGACTCTGGTGCACTGCAGTGAAAGTGCAGCGCCACGGAGCCCAACGGAGTTCAAATGCAGCGAGGTGCAGAGCAGGCCGCTGTGTGCATGGAGGTATCCCCCTCAAGTGCTGATCTTGAGAAGGCCAAAGGAGCAGGGCCGCGGCTCCAGAGGAGGGTTGGGGATCACGAGTGCATGACGCCCTCGAGCCCAGACCCCGGTCCGAGCCAGGCGCCGCCCCCGAGGCCCAGCAGCCGTTTCCTTTCCAGCAGCCCAGCCGCAGATCGAGGGACGGCCTCCTCCTCACCTCCACGGCATCCTTGTCGGCATGGATGAGGGTGCCGTACGCCAGCCACAGCGGGGCGACCTTCTTCAGGTCAGCCATGGTCATGAACATGGGGGAGGACCCTGCGCGGTGCAGGGCGGAGGGGTGCATGGGCGGCCCAGGCGGCGGGTGCCAAGCTGCTTGCACCGTGCGCCGGCGTGCTCAGATCGCGAAGCAGCGTGCTCGCACCGTGAGCCGGCGCGAATGGACCGTGGGAACCCTTGCGTCGGGTCAAGGGCTGGGTGCTGGGCCTGGCGCAACCACAGCCTGGCTTGACGGCAGGCACTCTGCTCCCTGTCTCTGGCCTGACTCCCACAATCAGCCATCCATCCCACCTGTGGGTGCCACCTTCTTCTCTATCTCCTCCCGTGTCAGAGGCCCCACGTACTTGCGTACGGTCTTCAGCTGGTAGCTCATGGACGGCTCCATATACCAAAAGGGCCACCCCGTGGGCCTGGTAGAGGACATGCAGGTGGGTAGGTTTGCCGGGCTCTTGACACTGTGGCTGAGGCCAGATGTACAGAGGGAGTCTGCAGCATGCAGTGACATCCATCTTGTGCATGGACCATCAAGTGAGGACATGCTGACTGCACTCCATACACGGTGGTGAAGAGGGTGGGCGGCGTTCGTGAGATATGAAATATGACCCTCATACCAGATTCCCATCAATGTGTACATCCAGTCACCCCACCTGTCATTCTTCATGAGGTTGGGCATGGGCCTGACCCAGATGTGGTCCGGCTCCATCATGAGCACATACTTCTCCGGGATGACGGCCTGCTTGCT